TGCCCCGCAAAGAACACCGACAATTTCTACTCCTTTGCTGTGTTTTTGATGGATCACACATAATCACAGTGGACTCGCAAGCGGACCATTTTAATGGTGCTATTTTTAGAAACACTGGTCTTTCTACCCATGCCTGGTTTGTCTTTGATTGAGTCTACTTCTCTGTATCGTTCAAAAGCCTCCTGTCTGGTATTACAGGAATCACTGATTGCAAATGGCGATGAAGGAGCCCCCGCCATTCAAAAGATATTGGGAGTTCCACTTCAGTGGCCATGCATTTTGCAAGAAAACCTACCTGTGCAACTGACTAACAGCGAGTGAAATAAATTTGATAAATTACTTCTACCTTATAAGTTTGGGAATTTTAGCGCCCATAATCTTGGGACACACTGTGCAGTGCAAGGCGCATTTCTAAAACGGCCATCTGCACTGAATTCCTAGCAGATGGAACGTGCCCAATAACATCTCATTCATGCTCTCTGCTGAACACGCTGGATTGAATGAGTGGAACGCCTAACGGTGAACTGTCCTCCAACTGAACAGAGTTCGCCGCTTTTAGTGAGCGCACACGGATTTTTTTTTCACCAATCTCTCCTTTCAGAGCTGATGCATCTCAAGTCTCAATTATTTCCAGAAACTGCATCAAAGATTGGTTCAGGGTGCTCTCGTCTCTTTGGACCATGGACAATCCTGCTAACCCTTAAAGGCACAGTTCACGATAAGTTTGAGGTATCCTTTGTTATTTGAAAAACGGCAGTATAGGTTGGGATAGCTCAATGTACATAGTGAAGAAAGCGAGAAAATTAGTCTATTTTGAGAAAAATAAGGCTCTACAAAAGTAGGGAAATAAAGGCTGACCACGACCAATATTATGGAAGGGGCACTCACAATCAGACGAGATTTCGATTGTTACAATTGCGCAAAGAGCTGATTACATCATGCCAAAAACATACAGAACTGCCTTTCACTGTCGCAGTGGGTCATGACAAGTTGTTTGAGCCTTCTACATGGGTTCCCTTCCGAACGGTGCAGCTTCTACAATGCCCGTGAAACTCGTCCACGCACACACACGGGCCTCTCTTTGAGCCTTCATAACTCCCTAACTGAGCCGCCTTCCGACCTGATAGCACCAGATATTCTATACGAGGGGACCTCGAATTCATTCTATGGTGGAATCTCAGAAACCATATTTATCGTTAAATGTGCCTTTAAGTCAGGCTAGTATTCTGTTTATTCCACTCAGGTGGGTTCACATAGAACAAGAGCTGAGCTCAGGTCTACTACTGTACCGTAATCGTCTCCGGACGAACCACGACTAGTCGCCACTTTATCTCATAGCACACAGATTTAATTGAATTGGGAGCCTGGGTGAGGACTATTGATCCGGTCAGTTGTCTGGGAAGAGGTGACTGGATCATTGGTTCCCACTTTTCCCATTGTACGTGGAGCCTACGAGCTCCGAAAAGAATTTGTAACACTCATTTGCGACGGGCCTGCTCTGCAGCAAAAATGATTGAACCTAAACACTCCTTATCCTTTGCAGCCAATTTTATAGTTGCCGTTTAAGCACTCATGAGTAATGAACTTGAGGGTTTCGACGGGAAAGGGGGTATAGACAACAGACGACAGAGGGGAAGGGGGATCTGCCTCGGGTATGGGGGAATATCGATACGAGGGTGCGAGGAGCCCAGGCGGGCGCGGCGAGACGCAGACTCCAACGCCTTCACGAACCTGAGCAGCACTGCAAACGTCAATCGAATTAACATAGTATTCGATCCCACATATTCTCTTTCGTATTTCATTCATGATGCATGACTCCAGCCTACAAGTAGCTACCTATTTTCTCAGGTACGATTTACTCTAGTATTGGGTAGTACATAGAAACGAATGCCCGTTATTCATTTTCTGTCATCCTAATTTGCGCTTTACTTAGAGTTTCATTACTCCAGTCAAGGGATTTTTTATAGCTTGTGGACCAGTCGATAACGGACCTTCCTATGACCATGCATAACTTCCTGGCCAGATGGCACTCGCATGAATTTACGAATAGGAACTGCCGCAAGAGGATATATGCCCGTATTTGTTTTGGGCCGAGTACTCAAAAAGTAGATGTCAGGGCCTAAAGATGAGAAGTTCATAAGCTGTTTGTGCGTTAGATCTTTTTTTTCGTAGCTTCTTTCCCTATCAAGACTTCTACCTGGGAACATCGAAAACCATTTTTTTTACTTGAAAAATGAGCCACTAGCATGTGTCTTTTGTTCCGTCCTTAGAGATTTTGCTTTTTAATTTTGCTTTCTAGCGAATACAGGTTTGTCCAGAATTGAGGGATTGAATGACGAAAATTCGGAATCTATTTATAGCTTGAACCACTTCAAAGCTTTTAGATAGCTTATGAAGTGGTTGCTCTTTTCAATTTACAGGCTCTGAACTCGAACATTCTCCCTACTTGAATAAGGATAGGTCTAGTTTTGTCCACTCGCTGAAGCTCAACATTTTACATTGTAAACAGGATATTATAATATAGCTTTGGATAATAATCACTTCTTCGAAAAAAGAAGTAACAGCTTTGTCCTCAGCTCCTTTCCCGAAATACAGAAAAGCTAAAAAATCAACCGAAAGGATCTAGTAGGATCGCGTTTTAAACGAGAGGGGTGGGGGGGTGGTGTGGGTCGAGTACTGATAGCAAATATCNTTCATTCATGATGCATGATTCCAGCCTACAAGTAGCTTCATATTTTCTCAGGTACGATTTACTCTATTCTTGGGTAGCAAATAGATGAGAAATCTCCGTTACTCCTCTTTCGTTTGCCCAAACTCTGCTTCGCTTAGGTTTAATTTGCTCCAGTCAAGGGATTTTTTTATAGCTTGTGGACCAGTCGATAACGGACCTTC